TTCTAAGATTAAAGATAATCAAGCCTATCTGCATTTATTGTTTTGCAGAAGTAGATATACTATGTCTGATGAAGTGATTTGATTGGGACATCACAGGAATGACGCAGTCTGAGAATGAACCTGTGTCAGCACCCACATCTGTTTTTGGTCCTTGAGATTGAGTACTAAACCATAACATTTTCTCTTCATACTTCCTCTGGAGTTACTTGGTGCTGGCATTATTCATGTTCCTGCCGTTTGGGCATACTACTTCATCTTTTATATTTTGCAGATAGGTCTCTGTTCAGTTCCTCTGAACATCACCATGTCCTTTGATTCTAAAGACCCTTTTAAATTTCTGAAATTAATTATTTGCAATTACACGGAGACATTCTTCATAGCTTTTCAGTTCTATGAGTCTCAATGGCTTAATACCCTAACCTTGTTCTTATGGCATTCCTACCTTGTCTCTTTGTTTTTTTTTTTTTTAGATTTTATTTATTTATTCATGAAAGAGAGAGAGGCAGAGGCAGAGGGAAAAGCAGGCTCCCCGTGGAGCAGGGAGCCTGATGCGGGACTCGATCCCAGGACCCTGGGATCATGACCTGAGTCGAAGGCAGACGCTTAACCGACTGAGCCACCCAGGCGCCCCACATTGTCTCTTTCTGGAAAGAGACATTAAATCTAAAAAGAAAAAAATAAGACCAGTTTATTGTCAATTACAAATTAAGGTGACAAAGAGACAAAAACTAAACACTGGTTTCCAAATGTGCAGTTCATTTGTGTCCATGGCTCATGTCATTCCTTCATAAAGGCTGTAATACTCTGTACTTACTAACATAACCCACTAAATTAGATGGTAGCTGTTATCAATTGCAGCTTTAAGGTTTTAGAATTTTTATTATTTCATTTGCTTGATAGGTATATTGCTCATTTTTTTTCTTCATAACAAACTCTTCAACATTTCAAGTGCTTATAATGACAAATGTTTATTTTTCTTGCCCATGGCTCTGCAGGGCAGTTGGGATGGCTCTGCTCTGGGCTCCGGGTTAGGTTTAGGTCTGCTTCATGTCTTTCCTTCTCCTTGGACTAGCAGCTACCTGAACATGTTCTTCTCTTAGAGAATGACAGGAGTGTGAGAGTAAAAAGCTAAACGGCCCAAGCACATTTAAAAATACTTCTGTTTTGTCTGTGTAAAATCACACTGGCCCAAGCACGTCAGGAGCCTGGCCTCCTATCAGTGGAGCCGGCTGTATACTCATTGCACAGCAGGAGGCTGTGCGGAGTTACAGGGCAAAGGTTGTGGGTATCAGATGCTATTAAAGAGGAGAGAAAAACCGGGGGAAATAACCCGGACTACCACTGTAAGGAAGCAAACTGCTAAAAGTCATTAATTTAGTAATACAGGGTCTGTGAATATAGGTCCATTGTAAACATGACAACACTTGCATATTATTTAACTACCTTCGTTTGAAAATGCTCTACCAGTGCTCTCAATTTCTTTCCAGAATGCTCTCTCTCTCTCTCTCTTTTTTTTTCCTTAAGTAGGCTCCACACCCAAGGTACACAGAATTCACTTCCTTTGAACAGGTTGGAATGCTATGGAAACTCAAAGAAAATGTGTCTGTTCATACAGTTGTATCTTTTTTAAAGGCATGAACAAGAACACTAAAGGAGATGTGTATTGCAGTTATGTAATATTAAACATAACCTAGTCTACTTTTTAAATTATGGAATAGAAATTTCATTTTAGGGCGCCTGGGTGGCTCAGTTGGTTAAGTGACTGCCTTCGGCTCAGGTCATGATCCTGGAGTCCCTGGATCAAGTCCCGCATCGGGCTCCCTGCTC